TTTTTTTTTTTTTTTTTTTTTTTTTTTTGAGGGTGATAAGAAAATGCTCATTTTGGTTACATTTGCGTATTACTAAAAATAATGAAGGTATGAGATCTGGATTTGAGTTTTAACTTTGTAATGACTAGCTTTGTGTGCTCAAGCATTTCCCAGTGGAATGGAAGAGAAAGATGAATAAACAGGTAATTATAATACAAAGGGTAAAATACAAAAGAGATTATAGAGTCTATGTGTGAAAGTGAGGAGATACTTCTACTTGGGAGAGTTAGGAAAGGCTTCATCGGAGGTTTTCTTCTGAGTTGAGTGTTGAAGGATGTTGAGGAGTTTTCCAGATATAGGTGCAAGCACTTGTGAATGCCCAGAGGTGCAGGAGATCATAGGAAGTGGGCTGGCTGCAGTTGAAGGAAGAAGGGTCTTGCCTACAATTGCAAGGAGAATGAACTGCATTGCAAATGCTGGCAGGTGGTTAACAAACTTGGCTGAATATTAAAGTCACCCAAGGAGACTTTAAGACCTGCTGCTGCCTGGACTTCTCAACAGGCCAATTGAACCAATAGTTCCTACATCCTCACTGCCTAGGAAAAATTGCAGGTGACTTGAGTGGGTAAGCAGGGTTGAGGGCCACTTTCTCTGCCATTGGAGAGCCAGGAAAGGCTTTAAAGAGAACACTAAATGATCCAAATTGTTTCTGAAAAAATGTGGTGTTGGGCTGGTGACAGTGAGGAAAACAAAGTTGAGTAGAGACAAGAGGTAGGGACATCTCTAAGGAGGTACTGCGATCATCTAGGACAGAAGAGGCAAAGCTGGGCTAGAGGACAAGCAGTAAGGACATGGAAGAGGGTCTGACTTAAAAGACAATTTCCTGAGCAGAATTTGATGGATGGCTGTATGTTGTGAGGAAGTGGCACGACTCATGAGTAAGGCCAGGTTTCTAGTTTGAGAGACTGAATGACACCAGTGTGTGAGACAGGCAGCATCTCATTCCCAGGCATCACTGGGAGTTTATAACAAAACCCTTGCCAGGAGGGATGACCATAATGCTGGCTGTGAAAAGTAGAGTAACAAGGAACTACTTGCACAGCTTCCAGCAGTCCCCTTGTTAAGGGAATGTTATGGGTCTGTCACTCCACTGGACTCATGGAATTAAAGAAAGAAGCTCCCATGAAGTCCAAAGTCCTATGCTACAGAATGTCTGCAGATAGTGGCTAGTTCTTCTAGACTATACCATATTTGGGCAGTAATGTCTGCACATTTTTCCAGATGGGGAGTCCATCCCAGCCAAGCACATTAAATGGATGCTTTACTCAATTACTTATTTTTTATCTTATAGATTTTATTCATACGTTCCCATTTTCCAGGAGAAGTTGCAATTTTATCTCTATTGAGAGTAGCTAATCTGTTTAAAACATATTGACAAATTCATAGCCACAATTCCCCATAACTTCAATTTAATTGTAGACAGTGAATGAGATTTACTCAAGAAACGTGTTTTGCTTTCTTGTGCTTAAAGCACGTACACCCATAAATACATGTATATTAGTGTATTTGTGTTTATTATAAGAAAGTATGATAGCGTAGATGGAAATAAACTAACATTTCGTTAGGTAAAGGGGCTGTGTGGTATTTTAAAAAATTCTATCTACTTTTATGTGCTTTCTAAGTTTTCTATAATGAGTTGATATTATCATTAATAAGTGCATAAAGTTTATTTGTAGAAACGATAGTTTTTGTTAATATAGAATATTTTTACCAATGAAGGGAAATCATATCTTACCTTAACCACCTTCAGAATGCCTTCATTAGTTCTGGGATCGGTTTGTATTTCAAACCAATTCCCTTCATTGCCAGAGGTGAAGAAATACACAGCAAGCCAATTATCTGTGTATTCTTCATCCCAATCTATTACTTGAAATCGAAGTAACTCAGAACTTAAAGTATTTTCCTCAATTCGTGCTGAATACTAAAAAGGAGAAAAGCAGAATTTAAGCCTCAATGCCAGGTTTTACCTAAAGAGATTATAGTTATTCTAAATGGTATTAATCATTACTTCTCAAGTTATGTATTGCCTACTTGCTGGTTACTGAATTCTTATATTTTAAAAAAAGCTTATTTTTTAAGAAAAGTGCAGAGAACCTAAATAAAAGTCAACAAGCAGGCAAATACTGAATTAGGATAGCAAAGTACTAAATGTGTGTGAAAATGATTCTTCAATGAGAAATGGGTGTACCTGAGAGTCCTTAAGCATTGGGAAGTTATCATTGACGTCTTTCACTCTAATGCTACATTCACATTGAGTCGATAGTCCTTCTCCGTCTCTGTCTGCACCGCTCACAACCAGACGATAGCTGCTAACTTGCTAAATTTGGAGAAAAAGATAAAATAATTAATCTCTAAGAATATGAATGGCAAGTATGGATAAGGAAATGAAGATATGCAAATCCGTGGTTCACTGGCTGGAAGGACTACACAGGCACTGTTTGCTGTCCTTCCAGGGGACGTTTGTGGAGCTCTGGATGGCTGGGTGGAAGTCTTCAAGGGGCTGTAATGGATTTTCTCTCTTGTAAGCTGCTGCTGCTTTTTTTATCTTGAGGTTGGCTGATATAGGGATCTGAAGCCTTGACCTTGATGTTATAACACTATGCTCTAACCAACTGAGCTAACCAGCCAGCCCTTTTGTGAGCTTCTCATGGCAAGGCAGTCTACTTAGAGCAAAAGTGGGCAATGAGTGTGGTGGGATAATGAGCTCGCTATGGAGCTTCCTTGTTAGTCTATTGGGAAAACCATTTGTGCAAAAGTTACAAGGAGTCTGACAGGGTTGCCGTGGTGACAGAGACAGATGGTGGTGGTGGCAGGTGATGGGGAGAAGAGAGGAAGGGGGTTCTCTGTGTCATGGAAGCAGAGGTAAAATTAAAAGAAGTTTACAGAAAAGGTGTGACATCAAAGAAGGCTTTATTCCAGATAGAAATTTCTCCCCTCGTTTAAGAAATTTCCTTTTCCTCCATCACGTGAGAAATTAGTCATAGCTGAGTATTTGTCCTCATATGCCATGCTGTCTTTTACTTTCCCACTTTAACTTCCGCTGGCATGTTTAGGGTACAATTGCTTGTGTAATTCCTGGTACATATCCCACCCCACCAGAACGACACTCGAGAATGCAAGCAGTTTCCCTAGATTTGCCCAGCTGAATACTGAGAACTTCATTTTCCCTTCTCCTTGTATGCTCAGGTGAAATGGAGTCTCTTCTCTTGGCTTTCTTTTAATCAAACCCTATATTATTGAATGTTCCCAAGTGCCTTGCCTTACCTCTCGGTCAAGAGCATTGGTCAAAGTATGGACTTCCCCAGTGTTTCTGCTTATGAGGAACATGGGTGTGCCTGCAGGTTCCTGAGAGACAATTTTGAAGGCAATTTTAGAATTCAAATGGTTTGGTTCATCTGCATCTGTGGCATTTAGTATCATCACCAGTGAGTCTAGAAATACAGGAAAATGTTCATTAAAGAATATGTAAAGATTGACATTAAGTTCACATTAAATATTCAACACAATTTTACATGAATCCTTACTTTTTATTATCTTAAAACCATGTGCATGCTCAAAAAAATTACATGTCACTTGTGATTCTTTCTGTCTCTCTCAACCAGGTACACCTGTGCTGCTTTTCTTTAAACTCCTCCAGTTCTCCATAAGCCTTGGCTTTGTTGAAGTTGAAGGTATTTTCTGTTTTTATTTTTTCCCTTGATGGATAGCCTTGTAATTTTCTGCCTTTCCCAAATTATCCAAGTAATATGAATATGTCTCTGTCCCTTGTAACCTAAAATAGTCCAGCTGATGCATCCAGGCTTCCTAAGGCTTTAGCTTTGTCCTGATACTCAGGTAAATTATCTATAGAGAATAAGATACTATTGACTTGATAGCCTAGAAATACAATAGTAGTGGATAATTAGCTCAACTGCATAGTCCAGCTGATGCATCCAGGCTTCCTAAGGCTTTAGCTTTGTCCTGATACTCAGGTAAATATCTATAGAGAATAAGACACTATTGACTTGATAGCCTAGAAATACAATAGTAGTGGATAATTAGCTCAACTGCAAAATTTTATAAAGAAAGACCCAATTTAAATAAATTATTTTGCAAAACTACTGATGAAATGAAGAGAAAAAATCAGTTTATAAGAATGGTATACTGTAGTGATACATTTAAAAATTGGAAGTGGTAGGTATTGTAAAAGACTTACTTGAAGCACTATTTTCTTCAATTTCACCCATGAATACGCTTTGTGAAAATACTGGAGCATTATCATTAACATCTAAAATTTTGACAGTTAGTATAAGTGGTTTTTCTACATCTTGTCCTAGGCTATTTAGAGCCCGACATGTGATCTAGAAACAGAGGAAAAATGTTAATTATTACTCTACAAATTTAGTTTGCACACCATTAAAACTTGTAGAAATAAGGCCTCTGTGGCATGTATGGAACCTTTGCACAAAAAAGAAAAATACCTTTCCAAAGGGTAGACCAAGTGGAAAAAGGAGCCCACTCTGGGCAGAGCAATTGAACGAGTTGCCCCTCCCTCCAGGCTGCTGCTGTCTCATGGCAGGCCGAAGCTCTCGGCAAGCTGCCTGCTGGATTTCAACCCTCATGCATCACCAGGTGTATTCCTTCAGGTGCACAAACTGTTAAGTGGAGGCTGGTTGTGGAGGGACTAATGTTATTTGGGTTGATTCATGTGTTGATCTCACTTCTAAATTCACCTGTAGGAGTGTCACTTTCGCAAGCCATGGTGTACAAGGAGAAGGGGAGGCCGATGTTGGGGACATAAACTCACCAGGAAGCTTGGGGTTTCCTCACGATCAACTATGGCGGTTATGTTAATATCTCCAGTGTTTGGGTCAACAACAAATATTCCAAAAGGGGGCCGATCAATTCCAACCCCAGAAATTCGGTAGGTAATTTTCTGGGTTGCTTGGAAATCTGATGTAATCTGCAGCCAAAAATACCCAAAATGTTAAGGTGAACTTCACTTGGGCCTCTTCCTCCCTGCCTACTGCCCCCTTCCACAATCCAAAGTCATCTGTTCATTTGATTCCCTCTTTCAGACACTGTGCTGTTTACTTTATGCCTTGATAAATACTAAGAATATAAAATAAAGTCAAATTGCTTGGACCGATATGTGTTAATTATTTTGGCTTTAGAATATTTACTCACATTGTGGCCACCCTGGTGATGTTAAAATGTTGAAAGAAAGTCAAGGGCACTTAATATTGACAAGGCTACTTCTGAATGCTCTTTCCTTATGTGACAACATTAAAAAAATTTTCTATTTTAACTAGGGGGAAATGGAGAGAAAAAGGGGAAGAGATCATATAGTAGGTGTTAAAATATATATTAAAATAAATTGTTTTTGGGCCAACCCCATGGCGCACTTGGGAGAGTGCAGCGCTGGAAGCACAGCGACCACCGCGGGTTCAGATCCTATATAGGGATGGCCGGTGCGCTCACTGGCTGAACGCGGTGTGAGCGACACCAAGCCAAGGGTTGCGATCCCCTTACTGGTCACACAAAAAAATAAATAAATAAATTGTTTTTTATTATTATAATTTTTAAGCTTTTTTAATAGAGAAAACTTCAAATGTGTATAAAATTAGAATAGTGTAATGAACCTGAAACATCTCATCACCCGGCTTCAACAATTATCAATATGTGGCCAATCCAATGCTTACTCCCAACCATTTTTTCAACTGTCTTATCCAAATATATTTTTTCTATTTGTTTGCATAATCTGGATCCAAATAAGGCTTATATATTAAAATCGGCCCATATGTCTCTAAATTCCTTTTTATAACTCCAGAGTTTTTATAGTTCCTCCATTTCTCTCTTATGATGATTATTATTGTACTATTTTTGTTGACAATACCAGTTCATTTGTTCTGTGGACTCCATCCCCTCCCACAGTCTGCATTTTGCTAATTGGAACTGCCACATTATTTTAATTTACAGCTTATACATTTATTTTAAAAAATTAAACTGCTCTTGTCTACATGACTTACCTTGGCAATTGGGTTTCTTTTCGAGTTGTCTTCTCTTTCTCTGCAAGGTTTTGCAAATTTCACCCATTCACGTTTATACCTTCTTTTGGCGTGTTGCACTGCTGTCCCATCATCTTTGTGTTGTCCTTTTGTCTTATGTAAAAAGGGATTCCATTTATTATGCACATTGTTGGCAATTTTTACTTGGAATATTGATCATAGACACCTAGGTTGAGGAACCTCCTATGTTTCAAGATATCTAAGACTTAGATGTCTAATTTGCTCTACCCGACACTTTGTCAAGCCAGGAAGAAATGTTAAATAAGTAGAAAAATTACAAAACTACACGATTTTTAATATTAGCATTTATGAGGGTGCTTCAAAAAGTTCATGGAAAAATAGAATTAAAAAATAATGTGAAAAAAAGAGATAACACGAATCTTTCCATGAATTTTTTGAAATACCCTTGTGGTGACAAAGCTACATGATTTCTTATATTAGCATTTAATCATATCTTATATCATATTTTATATTTCCTTTATATATTCTGTAATATCTGAGTGTTCTCGGCACAAAGGATTTCACCTGCTGATTTATTTACAAAGAAAGAGTGCATGAGATAAGTTATAATAATGACATTTATAAATGACTGGTTTTTAAATATTGTCAGGTTAGTTGCTAGAGTTTTAATTTTATATATTTTCACAATTAAATAATCAAATAATTTTAAACATTAAAAATTTATGTTTTTCAAAACTCAATTTTAATTTTTTAAACTAAACTATTTAATTACAAAAACTTTTTCATACTTTACCTCTACCTGCAATTCTCCATGAACCAATACCGCCACCTGTAGACATTTAAATAAAGTCAAATTAGATGTGAATTCTTCAAATAGGTAATTATATAATGCTAATAAATCCTGATTATTTTATCTGTTGTTCATATTGTGGCTTGCTTGTATTTCAAAAGAAGTAGGTTTGGAGAAGCAATATTCATAGGGTAAATTTCTACCGGGGAAAAGGAATATTGCTGTCGATGTAAACAAGTTCTTCTAGTTCTTTAATCTGACTACAGAATTCTAATGATCCAAAGAAGAACTTATTAGACTTTGCAAAACTATGCCTAATAGCTGGTTGTAGCAACCTGACACTTCTTATCTGGCTATTCTATAAACAGTTCCCAGAAGCAGTGGAAGTCATTGCTTTGAGAAACAATGGTGAGCATCATTGTGATTACTCAAAAAGTGGCCCTAGGGGATTATTAAAAAGCCATCACCTGCCCAACTGATTTGTAGGAAGGCAATTCTGTATTAGTTAGCTGCAATTATAGGTCACGTTAGCTGTACAAGAGTGGAGAGAATGGAATGGAACTAGTTTGGTTTAGATAATGAAAAATAAAAGATGGAAGTATGCTATTTAAATCACAAATACTATTTGCTGTAGGACATGGATCTGTGAATCCCTGCCTCATTATTCAATTCAAGTACTGAACTTAATTTTCATACTGGTATGAAAAAATTAAATGAGGGTAAAATGAAGTCAGGCTGGCTAGGGTCTTAGCTTTTTCAAGAGCATGTGGGACCTTCAGCTGTGTCATTTTCCATCTTGATTTTTTGCCTGGAATGCAATCCTCTTTTCCTTCCACCAACTTAAATATTACTCATCCTTTAGGATCTGTTCATGTTCCAACAACTCCATGAAACTGTTTTTACTGATGTCTCTTTTTCTGAGCTTATACAACACATACTCTGTACCATGTAATTTAGTCCATGATTATTTACCATGATTTAACATTTCTTACTGTTTTATGTGCATTAAAGAATTTCTGTGCTAAGTCAGGAGAATTTGAATAGGTAAACTGTTAAAATCAGTGCTTTTATATTATTTTTTTCTTGCAACCTTTACAATACCTGTCCCTCACCAGGTGTTTAACAATGATTTGCTGATCCTCTGATTATAGATCTAAAGAGAATCTACAGGAAAATGATTGTGGAAAATAAATCAGAAGAAAAACATTAGAAAAAAAATAATAGCTAATGTTTGTTATGTGGTTTCTGTATCAGCTGGTATTCATAGAGCTTTATACTTATTATCTCATTTCATATTTACAGCAGCAGCTGAAGGAGATTCTATTATTATAATTCCTATTTTATGGATGAAGAAATGGAGACCTGAGAGACTGGATACCTAGCCCCAGTGCATAGCCCTGGTAGAGCCAAGATTTGAGCCTCAGCAGCCTGACTCCAGAGTGTGCATGTCACCACTAGCTTCTAACCAAAGTTGGCATAAATAAATAGGAAAACAAACAAACAAAAACAGCAACAACACACAAACACCAGTGGTAGGAAGAAAGTTATATGACAGTCAATTTAGATTTCTATCTGACTGAAGGCTGTGGTTGCTTTTGAAACAACATGCATTCATTACATTGTTTATTCCCTAAGGTTATAATGAACAGACAAGTCCAAGTCTGGACCAAAGGACTAAAAACGTCAGGCATAGAATGTCAGGACCCTTCCATTCTAAACATTTGTGCTGAAACTTATGATGTCAGAGAGCATGTGTTTAAATTGTCATGAAAAAGAACCATTGCCTATGGTTATACCATGTCTCAAAGTGACTTCACTATGTTGCTTCCCTTTATTGAGCAATACCATAAGTTACTTGAGAGAAGAGACCAGGGCAGTGCAGTAAAGTACAACTCCTTTCTCAGTTCACAAGAACGACTCAGCCACACGTGAGGGGAGGGATGGGTCAGGCATGATCCTCTTTACGGGAAAAGTGGAAAAAGTCATCCAGAAAATATGAATCATGTCTGTACTAGCCCAGAGAATGATTCTTCTAATAGACATTAAGGCACAATTTCTATTTTCCTGGGAAGCAAAGGAAGAACAAACCCTAAACCATGGAGAAAGTCGTTTCTTGCTTGTTCAATCTTTTCACAGAATCAGAGCCCTTATAGACGATATTCAGTCTCAATCTTTACTCTTCCCTACTTTTTCTTCTAAAGTCAGACCACCATGAATGTTCCCTAACTTTAGGAAACATTGTGAAAGTGTGATTTTTTTGTGTGTATGCTTCTAGGAATATGGGGTAGTTGATAAGAAACATTTCTGAATATTGCAATGCTCTTTAGATATTTAGAAATATAATCACAGCCTTACATTATTGAGAATCGTATTTTTTTAAAAAAA